CGCAACCCCAGCCCCAGTCCAAGCCCAAGCCCCAGCCCCAGCCCCAGTCCCAGTCCCAGCCCTGACCACAGACCCAGCCTTAGCCCCGGCCGCAGCTCCGGCCACCCGGCACCCACGCAGCGGTGAGTATTTATTTTTTTATGGACGTTTCCGAGTACATCTTCCAGGCACTGCTAATCCCTTTAGTCCCGATAGTGAAGTTAATGTTTTTTACCCGGGAGGTAGCGGAGTGTCTTCCCCGCCGGATGCTGTGATTGGTGCCAACCTACACGTCGGCTTGCAGGGATATCCCCTCCAGGGGTCACCCCCAGCAGAGCGCAGCCCCACTCGGAACAAGCTCCAAGCTCCCAACTGGTCTTCCGGCTGCACTTGTTATAGTGCATGTAGGTCTTCATGATATTGTGTATGAGCTTTTGCACCAGGCGTAATGAAACTTCCTTAACCTCTATTGAACGCGTGACCAACAACTTATACGATCGTAAGGAACAACGTTGAGATGACCGTTACGCATGATAAAAAAAAGAAGCATTTTAAGCGGTCGATTTTTTTACTTCGTTTTGTCAGTTAAATCTCAATTAATTAAATACCCCTCCCCCACGTGAACTACGACTTCTGTACCAGTTTTTAAACACCGATGAACTGGGGTCGATGTTTAAATTTTGATCATGGATGTTTAGAAACATCGATGTTCAGTTGGTGATGTCGCATCCGTACTATGCAAGGTCCCAAAGGAGCATCGTTCTCCGCCGACGGGGAGGCAGTCACGTGACTTCTCGCCCCATTCCTGTTTGAATACAAGCCACGTGCGCATGTGCAGATTTCGTGGAGACGTACACACACGCATACGCAAGTGTCGTGGAGACATAGCCTGCAGATTCACATCATCTAGGCTCCCAAGAAGAAGGTTTTCGAGATTACATATTGTATTCAAATACCGACACGGTAATGTCGTTTAGTCTTGTCCACGATTGTCGGAGGTGGGTTTAGCCCAGAGACAGACAACATTGCCGCTGAATCTGCAGTCTTGGAGCGGGAGATCCTAGGTGTCGAGTACCGTCGGTTGCAGGATTTAGTGCTCTAGCTACATAGCTATGTCGAATTCACCGCTGTGTGAAGGAGGATTTTAGTGGCCGGTTGCACCGGTCGATTTGTTTGCGTGGTTTCTACAATCAACACCAGGCGAATGCCGGAAGAGAACCCTAACAAACAGTCTACGGATCACGCGCATTCTTTTCTTGGTCGTCTTCGCCCTACCCTCTCTTCTCTCGTAGATACACATACATACATTTTGAATAACTGCCGTACCAGACACGTCCGGAGCTTGGAGCTAGTCCCGGCTGGGGCGGTGCCCCGCCGATGGAGGATACCTGGTTGGGGAAGCCCCCGCGAGCCGACAGGTAGGTAGATGCCGTATTCAGCGGGGGAGGACCGCCGCCCCCTGCAGCTATTCTTCGTGAGTGTCGCGGGCGTGTGTGTGTGGCTTGCGTTGCGCAGGGTGGCGGAGGAGGGGCAGGAGGAGGAGGGCGAGGGCGTGGGGGCGCTGCGCCGGCGGGTGGAGGAGCTGGGTGGGCAGCGCCTGCGCCAGCTGGGCGTCGACCCCTCGTGGCGCCGCCTGCCGCGCGCCTCCTTCCGCGCCGCCGCGCGCCGCCTGCGCCACCAGCGGCGCCTCCTCCTCAAGGTCAGCCACGCGCCTTCCTCGCGCACAACTCCATGGGTGAGAACCACAACGGTGGATGTGGTGACATTTTATGAAGTCTGTTTATTGAAGTCAATAGCACTGTAAAGCGGCGCCGATGTAATAACGGTTCGCGTATCGGAAAGTTGTACCCAAATTGGCGGGCTCAAACCCTATCGAAACCGTGGATTTTTAAGGGCAAAAATTCCTTCATACGCCTTCCTTCGGAGGAGAAGTAAAGCCGGCTGTACCATGTGAGTAGATTTACTTGCATGTAAAAGATCCTCAAGCCTAAATGCCGCCTCTGAGCTAAATTCAAATCTCCTGTTTCGTCGCTCAAGAAATACCTCCTTGGATGAAAGGAGATTAGCGAAATTTGCGTGGTCAGAAGGTAGAGCTGGCCTGATTCTCACCACGTAAAATAAGGTCGTTCAATTCTCGCCACGTAAAATAATTCAATAAAGTCGTGGTGCTTTGTTTTATCATTAAAAGTACGACATTTCAATTCTTCATTAAAACCACGCAAATACATTGCCTTTGAAATCTAGCCTAAAATAACAAGTTTTTCTCAGAATTTATGAAATGTCGCTTGTACCGTTCTGTTTTTCACCCATTAATATATATGTATAAATTTAATTTTTCACATTTGTAATGTGTATTTCCAAATACTTGGTTCATCATTTACCTGGATCTGAATTATGCATGATATTTAACAGGAACATCATGGTTGTTTGCAGTATTTCGTGCCGTCAGGTCTATCTTGAAAAAGGATTGCTGGGGAACCAACATGTAATTTGAACCCGTACAAAAACTACAGATAAACATATTGCAAAAAAAAGGAATTTTCTTGGTGCGCACGTGGCGACTTAAGGATTTTAGGAATTACGTTCAAGGGGAAGAGGGAGGGAGACAGGTAGAGAGAGGAAGGAAGATGTAGAGGGGAAGAAAGGGAGCGAGGAAGGAATAAAGCGAGAGACAGAGAGAGCAAGGGGGAGGGGACGAGGAAGAGGGGGGAGAGAAAGAGAGCGAGAGCGTCCCTCCTAAAGTAACTCCTGAGTAAGCCCCTCCTAAAGTAACTTCTGAGCCACCGACTCTATCCATAGGCGGCGACACTTGCTCTCAAGTGAATCAGAAGAGCCATTTCGCTCTGCCCATTGAACGCCACTCCCTTCGATAGCAAAGCGAGTGTCGTCACCACACTTCCAGTCATGGTGCAAGGACACGGGCTTCTCTTGCTCAGCCTATACAACTCCAAGCACCTGTTTGCGTCACATATTAGCGGGAATTTTAAATGCTGCCTGATACTGAAATCGGCACCTTGTTACAAGTCAGTGAAACAGATATATGAAGCATTTTTGTAAAGTTTGCATATTTTATTTCAAATGCACCTTCACCGTCGTATTTTTCGTTGGGCACCGTTAAAAATGGTCACTTTATACTACTTTCAAAATGTTTCTCAGCACTTGTCTATTGCCATGCAGCATACCTGCGTCTGGCCTGGCCTGTGTTGTAGTCACGTGGTTTCGTAACGTCTGGTGCTGCGCTGAATGAGCAAACATCGGTGCGGCGGAGCAACTCACCCATGCTTTTGCTTCATGCTCCTGGTTCAATTTGATTGAGTCGGTGATCAAACACTAGTTTCGGGGCGCGTCAACTGCTGCCAGTGGTGCTGGCGTAGTGCATGTCGCGGAAGGAACCTGTGATTTGGATAAGAGATAAGGGTATCCTGCGCCCACCTACACGACGGCAAGCGGGGCACCGCACCTGCCGCGGCAAAGTCTAAGCTCCCGACTGGGCTCCCGGCATGTCTGATAGTGTAGTGCATGTAAGTGTGTGTGTACGTAAGGGGTGAAAATATGACAAGGAAGAGGTAGGAAAGATAGCGCGCGGTCCGTGGCTCGTTTGATAGGGTACTGCTCCGGCATTATTCTGATGTTAATCGGAGAAACCAGGGGAAACTACCGATGAGAGCAGCGGCCGCTAGAATCGGCGGAATTCGACATAGGTGACAAGCTAGTGTCTAAATGCTACCGCCGTCGGGACTGGAACGGTAGGTCGAGTAAAGGCCCATTCACAATGCAAGCGTAAACATAAGCATAGCGCATTGCATAAACATTAACATAAGAGATAGACAAGTATTCACAATGTCTAACATAAACGTAAGCACAATAAGAGTTTCTATTCGCTGGGAGACATTCTGGTTTACTATTGGTTGGATGTGAGAATCAATTTCTAGATAGTGGCTGTGACCATAGCGCATATGGCGTTAGTTCTTCTATCCACTTCGCTCCAATTTCGATTCTCGATTTTGAGTTACCGTTCTGTGATTTGTTCATTTCTTATATCTTACGCATAAGCACAGACGCTTGAAGCTTGCAAGTTTTTAAGTTAACGCCTTACGTTTTATGCTATGCGAGCGCATTGTGAATAAGCCTCGCTTATGGACGTAGTCCTACCTTTTACGTTAACGCCGTGCTTATGTTTTTGTGCGCGTTGTGAATGGGCCTTAACGGAGGAGCCGCGGCATCGGTTGACGGCGGGCCGTGCGCGGGGTCGTGTGCGCAGGGGTACTCGGTGGACCTGGAGGCGCTGCGCGGGCGGCTGGAGGCGGCGGTGGAGCGGCGCGCGCGTGGCGAGCTGGTCGAGCGGGGGCCGCGGGGGGCGCGCGCAGAGAGCCCGGAGAGCGCCGAGAGCCCCCGCTCCGCGGCGCCCGCGCGCGCGCCCGCGCTGGGCCGCTTCGTGGGGCGAGTGCGCAAGGGCGCGCAGGCCCTCGCCTCCGCCACCGGATTCCACATACGTGAGTATTCAGCGCAGTCATTTAGGTAGTAGAGAGAACGGCCTTGCAAGTTGGACACCCCTGGTATACGTGCTTTAATAATTAATAATAATAATAATAATAATAATAATAATAATAATAATAATAATAATAATAATAATAATGTCTTTATTAATGACGAGGGATTTGGATTACTTAAAGCTGCATTTGAATTAATTCAGCCGTTGACGGTTTCATCCAATCGGGAGCTTGAATATCACCATAGTGACGTCACTGTAGCGACATTTAAGCTCCCGATTGAATGAAACTGTCAACAGATGATTTATTTCAAATGCACATCTAAATAAATCCAATAATATGGAGTAATATGCCTAGTACAGAGAAAGTTATGTAATGTTGCGGAAATTTTGAGATTTCAACGGAAACACACGTTTTGGGGTCTACTGATACCGAAAAAGTGGTTCTTTTCAAAACGTCCGTCCGTCTATCCGCCTGACCGTCAGTTACGCTAGCGCATACTATACGTAGGATTTTTTCTAAACTAAATAGCCCCCTGTTGATCTGGCCCTATTCAAAGCTCTGCGATTTTGAAAAACATTCATTAATTTTTGGGGGTACTTCACCTGAAGCTCCTGCGACAAAACGTTTCCACTTTTTTTCAAAACTGGCTTCAAATGTTTCCTTTAAATTTTCGGTCAGAGACTCGGGTTCTGCCTACGTCGCTGTAGTGCAGTGCTGCCAACCTTCGACAGAAAGCTCAGCGTAATAACAAATACTGTACTGTCAGCGTAATAACAAATACTCTTCAGTATTTGGTAATAACACGTCTTGGACTAGAAAAACGCGAGTTTTGAGATACAACGTAAGTTTTGTTTTGAGTCTGAAGAATTAAATTGGTAGATACAAAAAATGTTGAGTAATAAGAAGGAACACTGTACGAACAGATCATTAGAAAGAGAGAGCGAAAACTGGGAAGTAGCAAAAGAAGAAGGTGAGCAACGCAGCAAACTGAGCTGTGGCGTTCCGAGTAGAGCTCGTATTTTTTACCGGGCTATGCTGTCCGTAGGTGAGCGAGAGCTAGAGAGCTGGAGAATAAAGAAAACGTGGGCGCATAGAACTTCTTCACTAACAGTCCTAACATTGTGAGATGTGATTATTATCCCCCAAGTTTTTCACTAAATGTTATGAGGGTCGGTTAATTGTAAAATATTCTCCAGGATGCAACCAGGCTCTTCAAGAGCAGAGTGACTGTGAGTGCTACAACACAGCGTAAAATATGCGCTTTTCCCAATAATGCAGTATTACTTACTTCCCAGTTGTTTAAATGTCCTAGGTGTTTATACAAGGCCTTACATACATTTTTCTGAACAAATCACGGATTTAGATAATTTATCGGTACAATGTGCGTACAACCCCTACACCCGTTTGATTTCCACCCGTTGTTGTTTTTCTGCCTAATTAGTTACGACGTTCTTATTGCGGAACACAACAAGAGGTGAGAAAGATCGCGCGCGGTCCGTGACCCATTTGTTAGGGCACTACTCAGACATTCTCTTGATGTTGATCGGAGAAACCAAGGAAAACTACCGATGAGAGCAGCCAGCCGGGGCGGAATCGGCGGATTTCGACGTAGGAGACAAGCTAGTGTTTAAAATGCTACCGCCGTCCGGACTCGAACCGGTTTTTTTTCTTCTCCAAATTCCAAATAACAATATCAGGCTTCTTTGCCGCTCTCCTCCGATCAATATCAATCTGTTGATCATTCAGTTTTGTGCATGCGGTTTGGCAGGCGAGACTCGTCATTAAATGCTGTAAAGCGAAGCCTTCTGAGTAAAAAAATAAAATTTAGATTTTTTTTCTGCGAGGTACTACGATATACTGTAGGTCAATAGTTTCTTACTATTAGCCATTTGGATTTAGATTTAGACCCGAAAGTTTTTCTGTTTACCGTGTTCTGTGACCGTGTCACCTCTCGTCGCCTTATAAAATCAAAACTTTGAACGATGATCTCGGAGACACCATTTTTGGGTAACCATTGTCTCACCGACAAGGTCAGTCGAATTGAACGTAATTTGGGATTCCTAGAGTCAGGAGAGAATTAGATGCAAACTGAATAGTACATTTAGACGTTTGTTATTTTTTAATTAAATTATTGCTTTTAATACTAACATCACTTTGAAATGTTTGCTATGCTTTTAGGCAAAATTACAAGTCAGACCGACGTGTCCACCGAAGAAACAGAAAAGAAAGTACCCTCAAGAGACGATGGACCGGGAAATGAAGCTGCGAAGAAGATTCCCAGCAGGCAACTCTTGTTAACTGATGACCCTTCATCCTCAAGGGCAGCTCCCCCGCCCTCGCAGATGCTGTCACCGGAACCCCTGGAGGAAGTGGCGCCCCGCGGGGCGGCGTCTGGAAGCTCTTCACTTTCAGCGAAAGCAGCGCCGAGGAGCGGCAAGTAAGTGAACCAAACGACAAAACTCATTTGATTTGATTTATTCTGTCAAATAACTCTAAAAAAACTGTATGTGACGTACGATGAAGAAGTACAATCTGCGAACATATTCAGCTCCAGAATCTCTTCCCATTATCTTACATTATTTACTATAAAATATTTGAATCATGAATAATTTTTTTTTTTTTTAAAAAAAAAAGTTAGGTTAGAAACATTTGAAAACTAAGACATTGTCGCTCTGACGCTCTTAAACTTATTTACATGGGTAAACGAACTGCAGATTTGATATTTTTGTATTGCTAACAAAATAGAAACATAACCCCGAATCATGGGTCGTGTCTGGTGCTGCACAGAACGAGCAAATATCGGTGCGGCGGAGCAGCTCACCCATGTCCGTGCATCGTGCTCCCAGTCCCGTTCGTTTGTTTGGTTGATTGATCGGTGTTTCCGGGCGCCTTAACTACTTAGGTTATTAATTCCGAAAGTGTAGTGCACGTTTTTATGACGGGAGGTGGCGGTGATCTCCCGCTGGTTGGTCAGATCTGGTGTCGACTTGCCAGGATTTTCCCCAACCAGGTATCTTCCAACAGCGGGGCACCGCCCTAGCCGTGACAAGCTCTAAGCTTCCGACTGGGCTCCAGGCACGTGTGGCAGTGTGTGCGCGCGTTGTCTTTTTTACCTTGCATCATGTGAGTATGTGTGGTTGCGTTGCAGAGGGTCGGAGACGCAGCTCCGCAGCAGCAGCAGCTGCAGTTCGCTGCCGCGCGCCTCGCTCTTCCCCAGCTCCACGGAGGACGAGCGCAGCCCTTCGGCGTCGCCGCCAGTCCCGCTCGCCACGCTCGCCACGCTCGCCCCGCCCATCAGCGTCCGCCCCCGCCCCAGCCCCCGCCTCTTCCCCCTCCTCGTCCGCGCCTTCCCCCTCCCCCTGCCCCCGCCCGCCCCCGTCCCCGCCAAGAAGAGGGTGCTCTTCGCGGAGCAGCACGCCGAGTACCTGCTAGGTACGCATCCACTTCAAGCCAAATCACTACAATTAGTACTCTCTGGAATACAAGGAGAGTCGTTTTAGGAGGTAAAAAATACATCCGTGTTCTCCTCCGTTATATCTACAAATCTTTCCTAAGACATTTTGCTGAGGTACGCTTCGTTTCTCAACAGCATCTTCTGGCCATTTGTTTCTTCTATAACGACCATGTGCTTTTATTGAGTCGAAGAGACGAGGATATTTCTAAGCATAAGCTGAAGAAGAAATGTACCCTTTTAAAATATGAAAGAAAAATGAAAATTTGTGAATTGACAGAATTGGGAACAAATTACGACAGTTCAGTATCGCGCGCTGCCCCTGCGATCGCCATCGATTTTAGCCGGTCAGCGGGCAGTCAGAAATGCGGTGCACTCGCTCTTCACAAATGATGCTAATAACCTCCTTCGGGTAGCGATCGCAGTCTTGGAAATGCACGATAAGTTGAGGCGATGTACAAATTGCGGGAAAAATTACAACACTTTGTACGGTTCCTAATAAATACTATAACAGAGATGAGGATGCAAAAAACAATTTCGGCAAATGCACCGAGGTTGAAAGGTTATGTCATACGACTCCCCTTATCAGACGAGGCGAAATTAACGGAGCTGAAACAGTTGCTTTTCGGCCTTGACACACCACTTCCTTCCTTCAGATGGAAAGTACTTTCACCATAAAAACGTGAATATTGCAAATTAATTTTATATTGGGATCGGTTCAAGGATTTTGGCAGCTTCCACCAAAAATTGTTTTAGCACTTCTGTGTTCGGATGGATTAAGAAACAGCATTTATTTACATAAAATGTGTATTAAGATTCATGTTTTTGAATATTATTGATATAATTACAATAATTAGAATAACATTTACGATATTCAGCATTGAAATGATCCTCGTCAAAACTATGCTACTGGCGTGTGTATTAAGAAGAGTGCAACCAAAACCTTGTGCTCATGGCACTTAGTAACTGCCTTGAGCCGATACAGACCTTCTCTTCGTTTTGAGAGAAAATAATTCGATGAACCTGTTTTATTGCAGATAAAAGTAATTCTTCAAATTCCGGTGATGCGAATATTCCTACTGCAAATATTCCTCAAACAGTTACGCAGCTCTCACGATCCAACACCTCCATCAACTCAGACACCAGCGATGATTGGGATGAAGATTCAGAGTGAGTTGCAATGTTTCCTTAACCCAAGATTTCCCAAAAGGTCCCGAGCATTTCCAAGGGAGAAGTGGGCTTCGAAGTTCACATCTTAAATTTCAATTCTATTCAAGTATTACACTCTTACGAAAAATGAATAAATTTAACACATACGACTACTTGTTTAAACAAATATTTCATTTTCAAATTGTGCATTTAAAAATATCGCAACAATATTTGTATACAACATTAATGACAAAACCTATTAAACTTTTATGTGAAATAAAGGTCGACATATCTTCATAATATGGCAGTACATTTAACTATGTCATAATAAGACTTAAAATACTACAAATATTTCCAAAATGTATTCTGAATTTACAGTTTTCGATTGAAAAGTTTTGAATTTTTTTATCCACCGCCAAAGACACTGTAATAACTCAAATTCTAGCAAATACTTGTGAAATATGACACTATTATGAACAGAAAGCAATATCGTAACAATATTAACAATTTTCAGACTGCCTAAAAATATTGAAACCTATGAAACCCAATTACCAGCGTGCTACCGAGCCCCCTCCCCTTGGACGTGCGAGGGTTCTTATTAGCCCTACTGCTATTTTTACTGAACAGAGATTGTCACCAAGTGTAACCATTTCATTCCACCGGGATATGAGCCCAGCCCAGGACCTTCGGTGGTATCAAATATTTGCGCTTTGCTACAATTCATTTTCAATATTAATGTCCGGTGCATAAGCATTGTTACGCCGTCTTGACTGCAATTGTTTCTCATGATAAATCCCACATATGCTACTGCTATTGGTGTGTTGTAATGTTTCATTAACAGAATAGATATATTTGGTCATGTATATATTCTTGTGAGTCAATTATCTTACGGCATAAATGAGTTGCAGTGCTCAATAAAAGTGAGCTGCTGCAAACAGAGAAAAATAACATTGAGATCAGTGTTAAGAGGTTGGGGAATTCCACCTCAGTTTAGGTTTTGTTGTTGTTTTGTGTTTGTCTTTTGTGAATATTTTAGGGAGAATTGGAAGGCTTTTTTAATGGTTAAAAATTTGTTTTTTTAAATAATTATTATAATGGTATATTTAGTGGTTAGAGAACGTACAATTTTAATTTTCTCAGGAACTGGGGGTGGGGGCTTTAGGTATACTGTCTATCAGATCCGCGAGGAGGCGGATCAGATTTGATTGCTTCTTATATTTTTTCATTTATTCTGAATTTAAAATGTATTTTTATTTATTGACTTGTCATTAACATTTATACTTTACATAACGCTAAACATTTTCTAAATGTTATCAGAAATGCCTGGTATGAGATGTATTCCGTTTCTCAGGTAGATATAAAACTTTTCGTTTACATTTCAGACACATATTTAATTGTGTGCTCATTATGAACAGAGGTTGAAATATTCACGAATGTATAAAACCCCCTCATTCCATTAATTTTCGAGACTTGATACTTAATGAGAAGAAACAATGTTTTTCGTGTTTTCTATTTTTCGAATGGTACATAAGTAGTATTTCACTGACGTAACTATGTGTTAGCTCTTTCCTTAGCGCGCTGTAATAGGAAGGGTTGAGGTAGTGGTTTTAAGAGCGTGTGCCGTTGCAGGTGCGTTGCCGCATTGCGAGGCCTGCAGAGCGGGAGGAAGACGGAGAGCAGAAGCACGCAAGGCGAGGAGGCGGCTGAGACGTCGGACGAAGACGATTGGGCGCAGGTGAGGATCTGTGAGAGGGCCCGTTTGTGTCTTCCGCATCTGCAGCACCTCTGGCTGGAGGTTTGAGTCCCGGCAGTGGCAGGAATGTCGACACTAGCTAGATGGCTATGTTGAATTCAGCCGCTGACGGGAGAATTCGGGCGGCCGGCTGCTCTGATAGGTAGTTTTTCGTGATTTTTCCTGTCAACATCGGGCGAATGCCTGAACAAGGCATGGTGGTCCTTGTCTTATTCTCCCCTCTTACACACACTACACTAACACACTAGACGGGAGCTTTGGGCGCCTTACCTCGTCAGCAGCTCGCCTTACCTCAAGCAGCAGAGCCCTTCCGACGCCGCCACCGCTGCAGCCACGGCCTCACCACCGCCCGCCGGGGGAGGGGATGGGTTCTGCAGGGGTAGGTTTCACCAACCCTCCGGCGACGACGAACAAAGGCACCACAGCAGGTAAAACGCCGCATCCGGCGGCGCAGTGGAAAGACCACCATTTAAAGCTGTGTTCTGCTAGCGGTGACGCGTACGCCCTCCTGCGCTTCACGTAGCGAGGGTCCGGCGCTGAACGCCGCAGCGGCGCAAACCCGCCGCACGTGGGAAGGTGTTCATTCAAACCTATGCTCTGCTACGAGCCGCGGTGCTCGGAAACGCGCAGCGGTGGCGTGAGAAGGCCTTAGAGCGCCTTCCCACGTCGCGACGGCAGCGCGTTTCCGT